TTCTAACACCACTTCACTATCTAATTTTTATTGACTAATTGATAAAATTTCTTAAAAAAGGAAAAACTTCAATAAATAAAACTTTAAAAATTATTTCATGTCATTATCTGTTAAAACCCCCCTTAAATTTTTAGATTGTACCCATGCTTGGGAACAACTTACACCTGAAGAACAAGTTTATATCCACCACTTAAATAAGGCTAATTGGGCTTCATTCCCTATTTCAATTAAACAATGCTCAGTAGAGGCATATGACATTTTTGTTGCATTTTTAAAGATGTACAAAAATATTTCACACGTAGAGTTATTGAAAAAGGTTGAAGTATCAGACAGTGCAAAAGAACAATATGAAGACTATGTCTCAACCTTCTTTGCCAATGGAGGAAATTATTTGTCATTTGGAGATAAAAAATTTATTCCTGAATGTAGCAAAGAAGAATTTACAACTATAATTAATGCATCTGGACATAATTATTTTGAGTCGTTAATTGATATTATATATGATGTAACTCCACGTCTTATTCATTTTGGAATTCCACCTGAAGGATGTACTGCTTATTATTCTTCTAATATCACTAAAGAAGATATTGAGCATTGTAATGCATTATTACAAAAGAAAGGAATGTTATTAGAAAATACAAGAATTGATAAAATTAATAATAAGTTAGTTATTGGAATTGCCTCAATAGAAGAAAGAGAAGAAGAATATGAAGATGTAATATTAAAGTATGGGTGGTGTCATTCTGAGTTAGAAATGTTAGTAAATGAACTAAAAGAATGTGAAAAATTAGAGCTAGTTCAAAAAGACAAAAATAAAAAGGAAATGTTTAAAAATTATATCCAAACATTTACTAATAATTATAACCTTCATAAAGAGGCACAGAGATGGTGGGTAAGAGACCAAAAACCATCTGTTGAATTTAATGTTGGTTTTATTGAAACATATGAAGATCCTATTGGGGTTCGTGGAGAATGGGAGATGTTTGTTGCAGTAGTAGATAAAGAGAAAACAAAAGAACTAACTGAATTGGTTCAAAGAGCAAATGAAATATTACCATCACTTCCTTGGGGTAAGGTTTTTGAGAAAGACGTATTTGAATCACCTGATTTTACATCAATTGATATTGTTGGATTTGGAACTTCAGGACTTCCAATTGGAATTAATTTACCTAATTATGATGACGTTAGAATGGAACAATTTAAGAATGTGTCATTATCTAATGTTATGGCATGTGGCTCTAGCCAAGATAATATTCCCTTCATAAGTCTTGAACAACAAACATTGTACAAAACATGTTCTCCTCGTGCATTAGAAACTCAAGTTGCTTTGCATGAACTTCTTGGTCATGGAAGTGGTAAATATCTTCGATGTGACAATGGAAAGAAGAATTTCCCTGAAAACCTTACTAATCCTTTGACTGGGGAAAAAGTTAAATATTATCAAGATAAAATGACATATGACACAGTCTTTAAGTCACTTGGAAGTGCAATGGAAGAATGTAGGGCTGAAGCTGTTGGATTATTCTTGACATATAATCCAATTGTTAAAGAGATACTAAACTTGTCAGAAGATGTTCAGTACATTAACTGGTTATCTGAGATGAGAAGTGGATTAACTGGCTTAAAATTCTATAACCCAGAAACTAAAAGTTGGGGACAAGCACATTGCCAAGCTCGATTTGCTTTATTTAAGGCAGTTGAAAAGAGTGGTGCAGTTGAAGTTGTTGGAGAAAATATTGTGTTACATAGAGAATTAATTCCAAAAGGTATTGAAGCATTGAAGGAATTATTATTAAAAATTCAAGTATGTAGAGCCACCGCTGACACAGAATATGCACATTCATTTTTCATTCCATTGTCCACTCCAAATGAAGATGAATTAAGGTTTAGAGAAATTGTTATTAACAAAAAGATTCCTCGTTCTGGTTTTATTCAATGCAATACTAAAATGGTAGACGGTAAAGTTAGTTTAATTACTTATAAGTCCGATATTGAAGGAATGATTCAATCCTTCTTAGACCGTTATTCATTTTAATTGAGGTAGCAGGTTATAAAATCTTTATATTTTTTGTTATTTTCAATAATCATAATTAAAATTAATGATTATTTATTTTCTTATTAATCATTAATAAAAATTTGAATATTAAAAATAAATAACAAAAAATAAAAAGTATCAAATGAAATTAATTTATTTTCTTCTTCTATTTTGATTCATTGACTTTTTGACACTCTTAGTGGCTTTTCTAACAGACTTTTTAGCAGCTTTAGCAGCCTTTTTGACTTGAACAATTTTTGCTTTAAGAGTTTTTCTTTCTGATTTTGAAGCTTTTGCGAATCGTTTTTGTAATTTGACTAATTTCTTTTCTTTCTTAATAAACTTCTTTTCAGCTTTCTTTAAATTCTTAATCTTCTTTGGTGATGCTTTCTTTGAAGCCTTCTTAAGTAATGAATTTACTTTTTTCTTTTGAAGTTTAGCCTTCTTATTAATTTTACTTGCAGCTTTCTTTCCAAATTTAGTGTTTTTAGTACTCTTCTTGGTTACTTTACTTACAGCCTTCTTAGAAAGTTTTGTAAGTTTCTTATTACTCTTTTTGATTAATTTAGCATCATTCTTTTTAACTGACTTAATTTTTTTAGCAAGTTTCTTTTCAGCTTTTTTAGCAGATAATTTAGCCTTTAAAGCTTCTTTCTTAGCAGCTTTGGCGGCTTTCTTAGCAAGTTTCTTATTATTCTTTTTGATTAATTTAGCTTCACTTTTCTTAACTGCTTTAACCTTTTTAGCAAGTTTCTTTTCAGCTTTTTTAGCAGATAATTTAGCCTTTAAAGCTTCCTTCTTGGCAGCCTTAGTTGCTTTCTTTTGAGCCTTTTTAGCAGCAGTCTTAGCAACTTTCTTTGCGTCTTTAGCCTTTTTAGCTAATTTGGCAATAGCTTTCTTATCCTTCTTAGCAATTTTAGCAAGGGCCTTCTTGTCCTTTTTAGCTAATTTGGCAATAGCTTTCTTATCCTTCTTTTGAACCTTCTTAACCTTCTTAGTAATTTTAGCAAGTGCTTTCTTATCTTTCTTAGTTACTTTAGCAAGAGCCTTCTTATCCTTCTTTTCGACTTTCTTAACTTTCTTTTCTAACTTAGATTGAACCTTCTTAAGTTTCTTCTTATCTTCTTTAGCAATCTTCTTGGTATTCTTCTTAGTGTAAGCCTTTGCTTTGCTAATAGCCTTCTTCTCTGCTTTCTTTTCAGCCTTTTTAGCAGCTTTCTTAGCTGACTTCTTGGCAATAGCCTTAGCATTCTTAGAAGTCTTACTAATCTTCTTAGCTAATGATTTCTTTAATTTTGATTCTTTAGAAAGAGCTTTCTTAGCATTCTTCTTGGCTTTCTTAACTTGAGATTGTACCTTCTTGAGTTGAGCAGCAGTCTTAGTTCCTTTCTTAACGTCTTTCTTAATCTTGCTTAATTTGCTTTCAGCCTTCTTTTCTGCTTTAGCAGCTTTCTTAGCAGTCTTAGATGCGACCTTAATCTTACTCTTCAATGATTTCTTTGATTCACTCAATTTCTTTTCTACCTTCTTAGCTGCCTTCTTTGATTCTGACTTAGCCTTTTCAATAGATTTCTTAGCTTTTTCAGTAGCTTTAGCTGCTGATTTAGTAGCAGTCTTCTTAGCTTCAGCTGCCTTCTTTTCTGCTTTCTTAGCTACTTTAGCGGCTTTCTTTTCTGCTTTCTTTCCACTCTTCTTGGCTTCTTTCTTAGCCTTTTCTGCTTTCTTTTGGGCAACAGCAACTTTAGCCTTTAATTCCTTTTTGGTTTGTTTTTCACTCTTCTCTAATTGTTTCTTAGCAGCAGAAACCTTCTTTTCAACGGTAGCTTTTGATTGTTTAGAAATCTTCTTAGAAACTTCCTTGGCTTTAGCTTTGGCATCTTTAGCAGCTTTCTTAGTAGCTTCTTTAGTTTCTTGTTTAACTTCTTTCTTCAAATTTTTCATTGCTTTCTTGATTTCTTTTACTTTCTTTTCGTTCTTCTTAGTATCAGCTTTAGCAACTTTCTTAGTTTCTTCAGCTGCTTTCTTGGCTTTAGAAGTCATCTTCTTGGCTTCTTCTTTAGCTTTCTTTAATAATTTTTTAGCTTCTTTCTTAACAGATTCAGCAACTTTTTTAGCTTCTTTTTCTGCCTTTTTGACGGTTTTTTCTGCTTTCTTTTCTGCCTTCATTACTTTTTTCTCTACCTTCTTTTCTGCTTTTTTAACAGCAGCTTTTACTTCTGTTTTCTTTTCTTCAGTCTTTACAGGTTCTTTTGCTACTGGTGAAGCAACTTTAGCAGTTGATTTAGTAATTACTTGTGGTGCTTGAATTGATGATTTAGTGGCTTTTGGAGCAACAACTGTTGGAGCTGTTTTAGCCTCACCAAGAATATCATCAATAATACTAAGTCTTCTTTCTAAATGAAGATCACTAACAATATGTTCTTTGACGTTAGCTGGGACAGTATTTAACAAAGCATTAATACCATTTACTAATGCATTCTTTCTATTAAGTGATCCATTTAACTCTGACTTAAGTGTGTCAATGTATCGACTAATTTCTGGTTTGTCAGATGGAGCAGCAGCTTCTAAGTCGAGAACAGCATGATCAATTTTATCATGGATATGTCTTTCAATATCTTCAATTCTTCTTAATTCTACATCTAAACTTGAAATTTTTTCTTGGACCTCATAGTAATTCTTTACATAAAAAGCACTTTGGTCAGCAAGAGCACATGTGATTGCGAGTAACGCTAACAATACTTGCATTCAAATAATATAATTTTCAGTTCTTTTTTGTCCTTTATCTACCTATGAATTTCTTGTTGACTTTGATCTCATAAATTCTTTTCCCCCTAATTTCCTGTTTTCTTCCTTCTTTTTACCTATTCTTTTTCTTTTTTTTTTATATCTTTTTTATTTTTTAACTTTTTCTCTAAATTTTTTTCTATTTTTTTGTAATGTTATTCAAAATAGTTTTTTATAAAGTCTTTTTACTTGTCCTTTTATGAAGGGATAACATGGGTAGAATTTTTCTGAACTAATTAATGCCTGAGTTCAATTTTTCTTTTTATATTTAATTATCACTTATGTTATGAAATAAATACTATTTAAACATCATTAAAACTTTTTCATTATCAATAATACACTGGTTTTAAAGAAAAGAAATAAGACTATACTAGAAGTATATAATGTTACATCAGTATTTTTTTGTTGAAGCTTAGTTACAACATTATTAATTATCGTTATAATTACTATGAGACTTTTATTATTTTACTATTAATTTCAATAACATATTTGTTTCTGTAGAAATAAATTTCATAGAAAGAAAACAAAAAAGGAAAGACGTTGTATCAAAATAAATAAAGAAAATATAAATTATCAAGAAATACATGAGCTAATGAATATATTATATATTCATTAGCAATAAAAAAATAAGAAGACTTTATTAAAATAATATCCATTAGTATACTAAAAACAGTAAAATAATATTAAGAATATACTAAACTTACATAATTTAATAAAAAAAAACATAAAAAATAATAAAAAATAATAATATATTAAAGAAAAT